TTAAAAAGGGGGATTCCCCCCAGGGGCGCCTGCGTGGCTCAGTCGCTTAAGCATCTGACTTTGGCTCAGGTCATGATCTCGTGGTTCGTGGGTTCGAGCCCCGCATCGGGCTCTGTGCTGACAGCTCGGAGCCTGGAGCCCGCTTCGGATTCTGTGTCTCCCTCTCTCTCTGCCCCTCCCCTGCCTGCTCTCTGTCTCTCTCTTAAAAAATAAATTAACATTTAAAAAATTTAAAACTAAGTAAACATTAAAAAAGGGGGACCCCCCCAACTTCAAAAAGCGTGTACATAAATAAGGCACAAAGAATCTCTAATTACAATCATTTCAGATGGCGTTTATGAATGGCTTACTTTTCTTATAAATTAGTGGGGGAGTCAGGCTCATCTGTACAATTACATCAGTCGCTCACTTTACAATAAGCTTTAAAAAAAAAAAAAGACTTCACTGAGTGGGAGAGAAAAAGGTGGGCTATTAGCTGGTGTCTCCAAGATTGCTCGTAACTCACGGTCTGGCTTATCTCTGCTACGACTCGTGGGAACAGCTTCTGTGAGGCGATCAGTTAACCGCTGTCCAAATGAACAATTATTGTGAGGCTTTGTTTCTCTGTAAAACACTGGGGTTTTATGAGGACTTTTTCCGGGTATGGAGGAACGCATCCTGGATAGGACCACAGTCTTTCATTTCCCACCTCTACGGCTACCACCCATCCTTGTTCGCTGGGACCAATGCAGTGTCATTTGCCCTGGTCTTCTGCCCTGGCCCCCCTGTCTGTCCCCAGCAACCAGCCTCCCCCCCCCCCCCCCCCCCAACCACCTGTGTCTGTGAACACCTGAGTCAGGTGACATCCCTCCTCGTTCAGAACCCTCTGTGGCTCCCACCTCACTCAGAGGAAAAACCAAAGTCTTCCCCACCAACCCACAGGTCCTGAAGATGCGGTCCTGCCCCCTCCCTGCTCTCACCCCCCTACTCACCACCTTTCGCACTCTGCTTCAGCCACGCCAGCCTTTTCCGTGTGCCCCGAACCTACCAGGCATGGCCGTGCCTCAGGGCCTTTGCACTTGTTCTGATCTCTGCCTGGAACCTCCTTCCTGAGATATCTGCATGGCTCATCCCTCACTGGCTTCAGGTCTTGACTCAAATGACACGTTGTTGGAGCCACCCTGACGTTGCAGATTCCCTGTATGGCACTCGTCACCCTTTAAATATTTGGCATTTACTTGCCTATTTCTGCCTTTGTCTAATGTAAGCTCCTAGAAGAGCTTTTGTGTTTGGGCATTTTGTTTACTGCTGTGTTTTCAGTATCCAGAATGGAGCCTGACACACAGTAAGAGCTTAACAAGTGTTTGGTCGAACAAAGGAGACCGTACTTCCCTGATGAAAACAAAAAGATTGGGGCTTGTGACTAAGTCTGGTATGTTCTGGTGAAACTCCAGGGGGCCTGATCTGGGAGCCACCATGTTCCATCCTGTGATCACTCACTTCTTTTCGAACGCTGTTGCTCAAACACGTCCAGATATTGATTTGAATTTGTGGTGTCAAAAGTGTCCCCTGTCCTTTCGTTTTCCCCTGGCTCACTCTGAATGTCCCTTCTCTGAGGTACCTCCTCTGAAATCCCAGCCTGACAAAGACCCCCGTTACTCCCTGCACTTTCTTTGGAGCATTGACTGCAGTGAATGGTTCCAGAAGTATCCGTGGATTTTCATGTTTGATGTCTGTTTCCTCCATCCATGGACAACGGGCCAGATATGTTTTCTTTACCCCTCTTTTCCTAGCCCTATCCCAGACCCTATGCCAGGCATAAAATAGGCACTCACTAGGTATTTTCTAATAAGTGTAGAAAATTTTGTAGTTTCCTGAAGCACATTAGCATTTCAAAGGCTCTGATAAGTCCTGCACCAAAGGAACACCTTTCACGGAGCAACGCACAAATTTATTTGATCACTGAGCACGCCTGGAAAGATTGCTAGTGTTCTGAAGGAGCATGGCTCAGGAAACACAGCCGTGCCTGATCCCTGAATTATATGAGCATCATAAATTGACCTGAAATTTATTTTTTATTTTTTTTCCGTTTTTTAAAAGAATTTTTTTGAACGTTTTTTTATTTTGTTTTTGAGACACAGAGAGAGAGAGAGAGAGAGACAGAGCAGGAGCGGGGGAGGGGCAAGAGAGAGAGGGAACACCAAATCCGAAGCAGGCTCCAGGCTCTGAGCAGTCAGCACAGAGCCCGACGCGGGGCTCGAACTCACGGGCCGCGAGATCATGCCCTGAGTGAAGTCGGACGCTTAGCCGACTGAGCCACCCAGGTGCCCCGACCTGAAGTTTAATTTAGGAGTCTGAAGTGATGCCTTCTATTCAAGGGCTTGGAAGTCTTTGTGAGGATTCTGTCACCCTCTCGCCATTACGTTATCTGGGCTTCTCAGGAGCAGGGGTGGAGGGTGGGGATGACAACAGTATATCCAGAGTCCATGTGTCACAGTGGGCTGGGAAAGCAGAGAGGGAGCTCCATGTTTGGGGATCAGTACAAGTGGGTCTGCGTCCCACTGACGGTTATGGGGGCAGTGCTGTGTGTATGCGAACACGTGTGCGAGGATGAATTCCTGTCTTGTGGAAGGGCTCGAATCCCACAACTCCTTGCCGCGTTCCTGAACCGCCCCCCCCCCCCCCCCGATACCTGTCTCATCATCTGGCAAATGGGTTTCCTTGAGGAGGGATTGAGATCACATGCACCAGGCGCTCAGCACGTGGTCCAGCACATTCCAGGGCATCTGTCGTTTCCCTGGGTCCCCTTTCTCCCCCAGCATGGGCCGGGGGAACCCCCTATCGGGCTCCTGCTCTCTGACCCCCCGACTTCCCTGCAGACCCTCTTCCAGAGCCCCGAGGAGGGCTGGCAGCTCTACACCTCGGCCCAGGCGCCCGACGGGAAATGCATCTGCACGGCTGTGATCCCCGCGCAGAGCACCTGCTCCCGCGATGGCCGGAGCCGGGAGCTGCGGCAGCTGATGGGGAAGGTAAGAGCAGACCGTGAAAAGCGCTCGGGTCCCACCCTGCCCTCGGCCCCCGTCCAGGTCAGCCGGGGCCAGATCCAGCCATCCAGATTGTTCAGAGCTGGTGGATAACCCGGCTGCCCTCCAGGTGGATATTTTCTTCTTTGGAGGCGAAGCTGAGCGTTGTGTGGGGAGGCAGCATCCGAGTCACCAGACTCGCCTGCTAAAAAGTGTCTTGTGTGTCCCTTGGGGAGGGGTCTCGCCCTCCAACCCCAAGAGGTTTATGTAAGATTCCATCCCCTTGTGATTGGGGCTGATATAAAACAGTCCCCATTCAACCTCCCCCGCCCCCAGGATGCTCTGATGCCCTTTAGGGACTGACTGCTGTCCCTTGATAGTATCCGGCTGAACTGCTCACTAGTCAGCTCCGATGTCAGTGTTGAAAGGGACCAGCTACCTCTCGTCATCACCCTATAGACGAGGAAGCTGAGGGTTTCGTAGAGAACGGAAGAGACCCTGGTCAGCACTGGAGTCTCCCGGCCACTAACCCTGCAGGATCCTGGCCCTGCCCGCGACACCGGAACTGCCCTCCCCGCCAGTTTGGGACATCCGTGTGGCATCCCCTGATTGTTGACGATGGCTCTAAAAACGTTCTGTGGCGTCGGGGTGGGCGTCAGGCCGTTAGGTTTCTGAGACCTTCCAAGTGTCATGTGAACAAGGGGTTCAGGAGAGTGTGTGTTGTGACAAGCAGCCAGGATCATCTCTGAGTTCACCTTAGGCAGGGAGAAGTGGGAGCTGGGGGTCCTCACTCTGGATTAGGAGAGGCTGGGGCAAGGGAAGCTGGAAAGTACTTGCTGAGCGTCTAGTTTAGGCCAGCGCCGGGCCCCGCTGATTTAGCTGTGGACAAGCTAGACGCGGGGCCTGCCTGTGAGGACCCCACCTGAAGGAGGCGGAGGACTGGAGCTGGAGTCTGTGAGAGGAAAGGGGGCTGGTGGCCGCAGTGGGAGGACATGAAGAGGAGGCAGGTGAGGAGGGGGGACCAGCCCGCAGGGCCTGCAGGGGAGGGTGATCCCGTGTTCCTTTCGCAAAGCTCCCTCTGGCTGCCGCGTGAAGAACTGACTGCTGGGGGCCACAGTGCAAGCAGGGAGACGGGGAGGCAGGGAGGCAGGGGACAGAGGTGGGAGCTGACAGATCGCCTGGGTGTGTCATTGGGAGGTTGCCGGTAAGAGCAGGGGAGGCGGTTGGCTGGGTGTTTGGCCTCTGGCTCCATCAGGCCCGGTCTGTGGCATCTCAGGGGGGCGGGGAGGGCAGGAGTCTGGCTCTCCCTAACCCTCCCAAGCTCCTAGGTCCAGAACGTCTCCCAGTCCATGGAGGTCCTTGAGCTGCGGACGTACCGTGACCTCCAGTACGTGCGCAGCATGGAGACCCTCATGCGAAGCCTGGACGCACGACTCCGGGCGGCCGATGGGTCCCTCTCGGCCAAGAGCTTCCAGGTGGGTCCTTCTGGGTCAGCTCAGGAGCCGAGGAAAGAATTGGGATGAGTGCCCATTACTTCTGAGAGTAGGCATGTCTGAGGAGGACCAAGGGTAGGCTGGGATCTAGGGTCTAGTAGGGACCAAATGTCAAGAGCCAGGGGTGCATCAAAGATAAGGGGTGAGGGGGCGCCTGGGTGGCTCATTTGGTTAAGTGTCCGACTCTCGGCTCAGGACATGATCTCGTTTTGTGAGTTCGAGCCCCGCATCGGGCTCTGTGCTGATGGCGTGGAGCCTTCTTGGGATTCTCTCTCTTTTCCTCTCTGTCGCTCCCCTGCTCATGCATGTGAGCTCTCTCTCTCTCTCTCTCTCTCTCAAAAAAAAAAAATAAATAAGGCGTGAAGCTATGGGTCAAAGGTTGGGGTCAGGCCTGGGTCAAAGGTCAGGGGCTAGGATCAGTGAGGGTTCCGTGTTGGCGGGCAGGAACTGAAGGACAGGATGTCGGAGCTGCTGCCCTTGAGCTCAGTCCTGGAGCAGTACAAGGCGGACACGCGGACCATCGTGCGCCTGCGGGAGGAAGTGCGGAATCTCTCCAGCAGCCTTGCTGCCATCCAGGAGGAGATGGGCGCCTACGGCTACGAGGACTTGCAGCGGCGGGTGATGGCCCTGGAGGCCAGGCTCCATGCCTGCGCCCAGAAGCTGGGTATGCCTTGACCCTTGACTTTGACCCCTGACTTGCACGCCCAACCCTAATGCCACCCGTGTGCCCATAAGCTGGACACGGTTTTGACCTCCAACTTCTGAACTTTGATCTTTGACTTCCCTACCCAAGGCCCAAAATAGACCCAGAAACTGGAAATGGCCCTGACTCTTGACTTGCAGTCTCTTACCCTCAACCTGACTCCATCTTGGGACCAGATTTCTGGATCCTCCCTCAGCCCTGGTCCCAGCTCTTCCCGGTTTGATCGAACCGCACAGTCCTTGCCCTGCCTCTTCTCATTCTCCACCCTCATCGGCCCTGTTCCTGCCTCCCAGGCTGTGGGAAGCTGACTGGGGTCAGTAACCCTATCACCGTTCGGGCCATGGGATCCCGCTTCGGCTCCTGGATGACCGACACGATGGCCCCCAGTGCGGACAGCCGGGTGAGTGACTGTGCCCACCCCAGGGGTCAGAGCCTGGGGAGACAGCCTGTGACCATCCACAGGTGCCCAGCAATTCCACACCAATTCTTCTCTTGTAGCCTCAAGTGTCATAAGATCTCTGGGGCCCTTGACCCTCCCCTTGACGGTCTCGTAACCACCAGGTGACCAAGGGCCTTCCAGCCCTGAAAATCGCCAAGTCTGTTGACCTTTGGACTTCTGGTGGCCCCCGTGGTCACGACTGCCCATCACCTCTGACCCATTAACCGGAACCATCCATTAACTGCCCTAGTGACTGATACTGGTCACGAGGTGGCCACTGAGTGTCCCGGATGAGAGGTGGTGAACAGCCAGTGCCTCACGATGATCACTGGCCTCCCAGGGATTATGAGGTCCAACCAAGGGGTTAGGAGGTTGGGATGGGGAATCACACTTGGATGTGCATCCCGCTGCCACTAATTCTTAGAGAGCCTTGGGCAGGTTCCTTAAGGTCTCTGAGCCTCGATTTCCTTATCTTCAAAATGGTTGTGATGCCGTTGGCATTAAGGGTTTTAAAGTGCTTATTAGCCCAGCAGTCTGCCCCAGGGAGGGCCATCTCGTGGCTACAGGGGTTGCCCACCGGCAGTGAGCGCAACTGACCTCATCACCCGAGGGCTGTCTGGTAACCGCTCACCGTCCCGTCTCCGATGACCGGTGAATTCCTGGGCCCCGAGAGTCACCAGGGGCTGCAACTTCCCCTGATCCTTAGGTAGCAAACACCATCCACTCGGCGTCTGTCTTAAGACCGGTGGCGGGTCCCGACCGAACGATCCCGCTCCTGGGGCTCTGAGGGGTCATGAAGGGTCACCGGACATCCCACGGCTGACTGATGGCCACTCAGCGACTGCTGATCCCTAATGACCGTGGGTGGTTCCCGTGTGGTTGCTGGGGCCTTCGGGTCCCTGGCGGTGGTCCCGCAGCGACCAGCGGCTCTCTCGTAGGTCTGGTACATGGATGGCTACTACAAGGGCCGGCGGGTCCTGGAGTTCCGCACTCTGGGAGACTTCATCAAAGGCCAGAACTTTATCCAGCACCTGCTGCCCCAGCCGTGGGCGGGCACGGGCCACGTGGTATACAACGGCTCCCTGTTCTACAACAAGTACCAGAGCAACGTGGTGGTCAAGTACCACTTCCGCTCGCGCTCCGTGCTGGTGCAGAGGAGCCTCCCGGGGGCCGGCTACAACAACACCTTCCCCTACTCCTGGGGCGGCTTCTCGGACATGGACTTCATGGTGGACGAGAGCGGGCTCTGGGCCGTCTACACCACCAACCAGAACGCGGGCAACATCGTGGTCAGCCGGCTGGACCCGCACACCCTCGAGGTCGTGCGGTCCTGGGACACCGGCTACCCCAAGCGCAGCGCTGGCGAGGCCTTCATGATCTGTGGCGTGCTCTACGTGACCAACTCCCACCTGGCCGGGGCCAAGGTCTACTTCGCCTACTTCACCAACACGTCCAGTTACGAGTACACGGACGTGCCCTTCCACAACCAGTACTCCCACATCTCCATGCTGGATTACAACCCCCGGGAGCGGGCCCTCTACACCTGGAACAACGGCCACCAGGTGCTCTACAACGTCACCCTCTTCCACGTCATCAGCACCGCCGGGGACCCCTAGGGGCCACGGCGGCTCAGGCTGCCACACGAGGGCCGGGGCCCTTCTACCCCACCCGTGTCCCCCTTACTCTTTGTCTCCGTCCTGCCCTCGCTCTCCCCTGTCCCGTACGTTTTTTTCCTCTCCCTCCCGTTTGGCCGGGCTTTCGTTCTCTGCCTCCCCGTTTCTCTTAGTGCATTCTGTCTGTGTCTTTTCTCCTTTGTTGGTCTCGAATTTTGATCCTTCACTCTTTCTGCCTTTTTATTAGTGTCCGTCTCTTTTCATTGATCTGACTCTCCAGTTCTTTCCCTGTCTGCCTCTCTCTCTCTTCCTTCTTCCCCTCCCTCCTTGTTTCCCACTCCTTCCCCACTCCCTCGCTCCATGCCCCGCCCCCCTGCCCCCCACTAAGAGTTGAGTGCATGGATCGGTTTCTTTTTTTATTTACACTCGTTCTTTCCGGGTTGCTGGAATAAACGGGACCTTTGACATTTGATGCTTTTGTTGCTCTGTGTGTCCGGACGGGGCAGAGGAGGCCAGGTGGAGGGAGGCTCAGCCCGAGCCTGGAGACCCATCCCAGCTGGGCCCCCCTGTGTCCCATGCCACAAGCTGTCCCAAGCCCAGCCTCGGGGTGCGGCAGGAGGGGGGCACGGCTGGGCGAGCCCTTTGGGAAGATGAGCGAAGAGACCCCCATCCAAAGTTGCTTTGTTCAAAAACAATTTGTTTCAAAGCAATTTGATTCAAACAACCGAGAATTCTATCACAAAGATGAAAACAGGCCTCAGATGAATATTGTCCATCACTGGTTTTGCATCACTGAGCCATCTGGCAACTTTTTAAATGTGTGTGTGTGTGTGTGTGTGTGTGTGTGT